TTAACTATAAAAAGTGGTATAACCATCACCTCTGTCGGTTTCCTATCCCGCATGGGCATTGGTCCATCGTCTTGTATAATGGTTGTCATTATACTGACGATGTCACCGAAGTCCATACATCGGAAGGAAGTCGAGAACCAACTGGATTTGTTAAGGTCTTCCATAAATCATTGTGTCTGGAATCTATAGATATGTCGAAAATTAAAAACATTGGTACAGTTGGAGAAAATGTCGGTCCACCTTCTACAATCGTTGGAACATTTTGAAACGATGCGGAAATACAACGCAGCTTACAAATGTATCTGTACGAAATAGTAATACAAAGCTAATTTATTTTTATTATCCCTTCGTTTGCACTTACTGCTATCTTATTAGTTTGTAAAGAGGCGGGTTTGTGTTGCAATAAGGCAATTATTCCTGAAGTTGATCACGGCTTTTTTCCGTAACTGTACCTTAGTTGGGTAAACAAGACTTAAGCTAATCATACTTTTATTATAAATGCGAAAGTTTACATGGATGTTTGTTAGAGTTTGTAGCCTAAACGGCTGGACGGATTTCGATGAAATTTGGTACAGATGTAGAGGATAGTCTGGAAGAAAACATAGGTTACTTACTTTTGTTTTGTAAATTCACGAGAACGGAGTTGCAGGCGAAAGCTAGTGTAACAATAAGTTAGTCCTTAATAACTGGTATAGGTTATACTTTCAACGGTAAAAAATTCTAAAAAGTTGATTTTAGGTTTATTCCAAAGCAAATCTAGCAAGTAGACCTAATATTTTGACATTACGCCACGGTGAACACCACCTTGGTGTTCACGCCGCTCGTTTGACCCCTTTTATTATATAAAAAAAACATCCCTTAACACTACGCAGTATAGAACAAAGTCTATTCATCTTTTTCTAAATCACCTAAGAAAATAATGGTAAAATTGATCACCGAACTTCTTATTAATAACTAGCTTTCGCCCGCGACTCCGTCCGCGTGGAATTAATAAAAACAAAATTGAGTAGCCTATGTGTTCTTCCAGACTATCCTCTACATCTATACCAAATTTTATTAAAATTCGTTCAGTCGTTTAGCCTACAAACTCTAACAAACATCCATCTAAACTTTCGCATTTATAATATTAACAAGGTTTTAACAAACTGTATTTAAACTTACTACGTTTGTTATTTTGATCTTGATTTCTTTGTTACACTGTAAATTTTGATTTTCCAATATATTTTAGGTTTTTGTTACGTTTTCGTTTTTGGTTATAATTTTGACATTTCAATTTGACAGATGTTTTTTATTTCATTTTGGTCATATGATGTTAAAAATAAGGTTTTTACTTAAAACCTACTTTGTCCTTTTATCTACTAGGTGTAGCTCGTGACTTCGCTGCGTGAAGAGAAGAAATAGTAAAAAATATATAGCCTACTAGTTTTCGCCGGCGACTCTGCGTGAAATTAAAAAAAAGTAGCCTATGCCAAATTTCATCGAGATCTGATATAGGTTACAAACTCTAACAAACATCCATCTATCTAAACTTTCGCATTTATAATATTAGTAAGAAGTAAAATGTTACTCACTGATACGTAGTTTATAAATGAAAAGATTTTTAAAATCAGTTAAATGTTTTTGGGTTGTTTTATATATACAAAAATACAAATCTTTCCTCTTTATCATATTAGTAATAAATAGATTTGGAGGAGGACGTACGAGGAGGTAGGAGGTAGATAAATACGTAACAGGCGCCCAAGTTAAAAGTACCAGGATAGCATAAATGGAAAGGATGTTCAAGGCATTTTGTTTTTTAATTTAGAAATTTTCTAATCCGCAGATACGGTTGGAAATCCCGATTAGAACTCGAAATATCTGGATAGTACCAGGGTACTATAAATTAAAAGGAGTTACACCGAAATAAGTAGCATTAGAAAGATTACCCCAGAGTTGAGAAAAATCTCCCTTGATATGGATCTGTTGAAACATATACGCAAAAACATATTCATCTCACGCATTTTCTTTGATAAAATAGAGATAGCAAGATGTTTTAACAGCAAATATTACAGTGAAAATTCCGATGGAATTTTCCGCAGACGGAAAACATCAACAATGTACTAGGCTGTCATAAATTCGAAGGGGCTATCGGGACTTGCGTATTAGAAAGGGGGTGAGAGATAGAAACCGCGCATGCGTAAAGATAAATAATGTAAACAAAATTGAAAAGTTCTGGATGATACGTGAAAATTAATTCGGCACTTTGCGACATTACTTCGCTTCAATGATTAGTTTATATTGAATGCTACTAGATGGCGCTAGTAGTCTTAAAACTTGTAACTGCACACTACTATATAATAGTTGTTTTAAATAAATCTCTACTCTATGTTAAATACTAGCTTTTGCCCGTGACTCCGTCCGGTTGGCATTAAGAGAAACAAAAGTGAGTAAGCTATGTGTTCTGCCAGACTATCATTTACGTCTATGCCAATTCTAACAAACATCCATCCATCCAACTTTTCGCATTTTAAATATTAGTAAGAAGTAAGATTGTTTTCATATCTTTCTAAGTAGAAATGAAAAGATTTTTAAAGAAAATCAAAGTTTGTACTGTTAGAAATGCCTATTTTGATCTTATTTGAGATTCTATTAGAAAATGGTCTCAAGTTAAATTCCTTAAATTTGTATATAATTTTTTTTAAAACCTTGGTTTTACATTGTTGGAATATGGTCAACAAAATATAGTCATTAAGGAGTACAAGGTTAACATGGCATGGGTTTAAGGGATCTGTGAAATGCAAATATATCAAACTAATATTATAAATGAGAAAGTTTGGATGGATTGTTTGAGTTTTTAGCTTAAACGACTGAACGGATCTCGATAAAATTTGGAATAGATGCAGAGGATAGTCTGGAAGAACACATAGGCTATTCATTTTTTTTTTAATTTCCTCGCGGACATAATCACGGTCGAAAGCTAGTATTAAATATTTGCATTTCACATATCCAGGATATTTCACATTACACACATTCAGGATATTTCAAATTCTTTCACCGTTGAAAAACAGCGTTGTTTGTGAGTAAAATAGTCGTAAGTTTCTTTATTATTTTTTATATGTTATAAACTAAGCGACCAGTGGTTACACATAAATCCTGTGGGTTTCTGTACCGCTTATAACATCTCTTGTACTTTTAAATTTATGTTTTTGTCCAATAAAAAAAAAGAAACAAAAACCTTACTTTGGAGTACACCGGTAACATACATCTATAAAGAAGAAGGTAGTTCAACTTGGAGGATGGAAACTCGATGCGCAAACTCTGGTTGTATGACTAGCTTTTGCCGACACCATTAGGTTGGAATTAAAAGAAAAAACAAGTAAGTAGCCGTGTTCTTCCAGACTACCTTCTACATCTGTGGCAAATTTCGAGATCCATTCAAAATTTTATACTAAAACATCCATACATCTAAAGTTTCTTATTTATACTAATACACTGTATTAGTATTTTTATTTATATATTACCTCAATAACTCAAATCTCAGTATCTTCAAAAAATAATATGTTCCCTTTCCATCAAAGCCCAAAACCTCAATAACTTAAAATGTTTTGCGATTCCCTCGGACGTTAACTTATCGATATTCTACTGCATTATAAAGAGGAAAGATTTGTATTTTCGTATGTATTGAAATAACTCAAAAACTACTGGACCGATTATATAAATTCTTTCACCGTTAGGAAGGTAATTTATCTGTAACATAGGTCATGATTTATTATTATTCATATATCTTTATTTCATATTCTATATTTAATAGATTTTAAAAGATTTGTGTAAAAATATAATAAAACATATTATATAAAAAATAGAGAACCACAGGCTGCGGAATCTAATGACTCAAGCAACCAGTGGTCAGGGCAGAGACAGGAACCTCCTCACTATGCATGCGGTTTCTAAAATAACCACCTTTTGAATCGGGCCCTTAATCCAACTGTCTAGGGAGAGCTTCTTGAGGTGTTGGTCGCAACTCTTCGCTATTAGCCTGTGTGGTCAAACATTTTTTTTTTATTTCACGCGGCTGAAGTCACTAGCAACAGCTATTATAATATTAGCAAGATGTATTAAAACACTGTTATTTTTGTATAGTTTTTTAATTTTTATATCAACTCACAGTTTCCTTACTTTAAATGTTTTACACGTTAAAAGTTAAATTGCTTTACCACTGTAAAATACTTAATCTAAGTTCATGACCATATTACAAACATTACTAAGTAAAAGTACAGTGGAAATATGCCATAAAGACAATAAAGTACTAGAAAACATTAATAAGCTTATTATTTATTTCAAAATTGTACCAAATCACTGCCTTAGTCATACAAAACAATACAATAGAACCTCGATAAGTTAAAGTCGAAGGGAAACATGAAATATTTTAAGTTATAGAGGTTTTAAGTTACCGAGATTTGAGTTATTGAAGTTCTACAGTATTAGTAGTGGGGCTTAGCTTGTGGTGGGAACTGCACATTCAGTGCAAGGCCAACCATCAAAAAGATTCAAACACTGTCTGAGTAGATTGTGTGATAATAAGACATTGCTTAATACAATTATGTAAATCAATTAAACCAGATCCCAGCAGTACAATATAACTATAAGAGCCTGTGCCACCACTGGCTACAGGCTCAGATAGCTTAAAAATGATGTTTCTGTCAGATAAGGTAATAAAATCCAATATTTCCATCACATATTTTTGTTGGATTGGGTATCAGACAATTAACAATTTGTTAGGACTGAACCTGTTTTAAAATTTGTTGCAATTTCCTTAATAAAATAAAGTTCTTTGACCAAAAAACAACATTAAGTTATACAGTTTATCTGAAAATCAAACACCTCTTTAATGTTAACCAATGTTGACTGTATTACTCAAAGTTTTCATTAATGGTTTGGCATTATTTCTGTATTTAAAACTTTAAACAATTATTGTCTCATTCTACCCATAAATAGACATAAAAATAATGAAAAGAACTTCAAGATTTACCAGAACATCAAAAAGTGGTCCAGAATATGACATATCTTACAAACTAAGGGAATAAAATTATCGTCTTCCACGACCTCTGCCGCCGCGGCCGCCTCTCGGACCACCTCGGCCTCCGCGGCCTCTACCTCGCCCTCCACGAGCACCTCCTCGAGGGAAACCTTCGCGTTTACCACGGCCTTTTGGTGCGTCGTCTAATAACAAAGTTTCGATAGGCAGACTGTCAGGTAACAAGTAATATCTTATGTTATTCCCACGTATACTTAATGTTTCCAATTGAAGCTCTTCCTTGTTCTTCAATGTCACTTTAACAGCCTTTAAATGTGTATTCATAGCTACATCCACACCAGTGATTGTGCCGTGAACGACGCTACCATTCTTTAGCTCGATTGTCACAGTCTCGTGACTCAATTTCATCAGAAATCTCACTAGCTTCATGATTGTTATATATTTAAACTAGTTTTTAACAAAAACACAGACGGCGTCGTTACACTATTAACCTCAAATTCGGCTAAACAAAATTATGGCGGGCGGAAATGTTGCCATTTACAAAATTGTTTAATGTCAACTCTCTATGGTTACTCATTAGCCAGTTCGAAGTAACCAGGGCAACTACAAATTAAAAATTATTTAAATTAAATCTCCTTTGTGCGTGTTAATATAAAATTATTTCATGCGTCAAAAAGGATTTTAGAGATTTTATGAATAAGCAAAGATTGTTACTCTAGTTTCAGATAAAAATGACTGAACCTAAAGTAGAAACTGAAGAAGAAGAAATCGAACAGGAGATAAAAGAGAAGAGTGTTTCAGCTCGTTTAATTTTCACTGACCAACAGGTATTACAAAGCCATTGTTTTTGAACCCACCGTTGCCATTTAAGATTGAGCAACTAATTAGTTAACTATTATTTCAGAAAAAAGATTTACGAGATGCATTTAATTTACTTGATCATACCGGAGAAGGAAAAATTAAAGCCGATGACTTTCGTGTCGCTATAAAAGCTTTGGGTATGTAAATTTACTGCTGGGGTATGTTCGTCCCTTTTTGATATTTTTGAACCCAGTTTCCGTTTACGAGCACCGTAAACCGTGACGATTGTCGAAAAAATAACAGAGACGCTGCTAATCCGACCATTAGATTAGATCTATCTAATAATCTATATATATCTAATAATAAATCTATAAAAGTAGATATCGTCGAAACTATACTATATAATAACCCAATAAATATTCAACAAGTAAATAATAATGATATAATTTATTTTAAAGGTTACGAACCTACGAAAGAAGAATTGCAGCTAATGATAAATAGAGTTGACAAAACGCAAACGGGAAAGTTAAGTTTCGAAAATTTTGAAACAGCTATTATGAGAAAAATAATGTCTTTAGACAGCGACGGAGATATAATGAAGAGTTTTCGCCTGTTTGATGATGGAGACAGCGGTAAATGTGGTCTTGTTTCTTTCTATTTACATGAGGAGGCAAACAAGCAAACGGACACTTGATATTTTACGTTATTTTTGTGTCTACTGCCATTTTAATAATTCATTATAAAAAGATTGTTTTAAAATCATGTTGACTTCTTCAGCCTTTATCTGCCCACTGCTGGACATAGGCCATCCCTAATGCCTGTCATAAAATGCGATCTACCTTTCGCATCCAACGACGATATTGGATTTATTGATGAAAAATTACTTTTTAGTGCATCTTAATTTATATCGTTAACTTGCAGGTTTTATTAGCTTTGAAAATGTGAAGCGAGTATCCGAAATCTTAGGTTTTGGTCTTACAGATGAAGAAATAGAGGAAATTATGGATGATGCAGACAAAGACTTTGATGGATTTGTATGAACATTCATTTCGTAATTGTATCCATTACACACCGTTACTGTACCTTTTTATTATTATTTTTTTCAGATATCAGTACAAGAATTTATGAGAATGATAAAAACTTCAGTTCGTATTGAAACGCCGTAAAGGATTATTTTCTCAAGTTTAAATTTTAATGAAAAAAAATTATAATTATAGTTAAGTTTTGTGTTTTGTTATTACTCTGTCAAATTAGAAATAAAAATACAAATTAGAAAATTGGATTTTTACTCTGTATAGTTTTTATTGTCTATGGTTATCATAGACAATGTAGAAAAAAAGTTGTATCATGAGATCCGTTAAACAACAAAAACAATATTTTGGATTAAAATAATTTTACAGTTAAAGTACGTTGTTAATAAAGCACTATTTGAAGTAATTTTATATATAATTACAATATATGTTTAAGATTTTTATATAAGTTTAGTATGGGTAAGTTTTCAGTGCAGTTTGAAGCTTATGTTTTATGTAAAAAATTCACTAAAGTTATTATTTTTATTTTAGACACAATAGAACTATACGAAAAATGTGAACACCTTATGAACGTGGTTGTTGAAACGCGTAAAAGATTTGGTAAAAAGTGTGCGGAATATGATCAAAAAAATTCAATAATAGAAAACAAGATATTAAATTTACAACTAAAAACTTTATCCAAAGCTAAATTTACGCCTAAATATCAAAATCTAGACTCAGACATAAATACTATGAGGAAGGAAATGCATAATATCATCAGTGACATTCAAGAAAGAGAAAAAATAATTCACAATTTGTATAATAATGTGAAAAATACAGAGAAAATTGTATTACAGCTGAAGGAAGATAAATTAGGCAGAAGAATGTTGCAGCCACTCACCGTTGAAGCTAAACTAAAAGAATTAAAAACATCAAAATTACATCAGTATATTTTTTAATAGTTGTAAGATGACATAGAGCAAACAGCGACTAGAATACTTCAAAACCACTGCTGCTCATAGACTTCCACATTAGCAGATTGATTGTGTATTTTCTATCTTAATCCACTTTCTTTGCAACTCAACTAAGTAAAATGATGTGCTAGAAGTTATGCTTTTTAATGCTGTTCTGACCTTTTGCTAAATAACTTTATGAAATCAAAACAATTTTGACAAAATCAACATTTGCTTTCTCCTGTAGTATATTATAAAAATATCTTCAATGTGTCAGATAAAAATGTAATCTCTACTTACCACAGTTTGGGATTTGTCCTAGTGTTAGAACTGTGTAAGCTGAGTGTTTTTATAAATTATGCCTAGTATTTGAAATTATGCGTGATGGCCTGATATTAGACCATTTGTCTTAGTTATAAAAGCCTATCATAGGTTTAAAAAAAATTATCTACAAGTGAAGTAGTCTTACTTTCACAAACGTTTAAAAAACGCGCCAACGACATCACAGATTATAGAGATAAAGTTAGCTCTATAGCTTAAACAACTTTTAACTGAGGAATTTCAATTTCCTGTTTTAAGTAATTTTACTAAAAATTTTGTAAATAGGAATATATATAATTTTTTTAATTTTGATAGTAAGTCAAAATAACCAAATTGTAGAACCCGGGAATCTTTAAATATTTATTAATCTGTGGAAAAAAACAAAAGAATGTCGTTTAAATTATGAAATCTCCCGGCAACCATTTAACGTATAATAATAATTTAGTTGTTATTTTGCCAAGCGTGATTGAAGCATTTTAAAATACTAATAATGTCCATCCAGAAACTTTATCAGGAACACTGTGTGGTGCCTGATGTTATTAATGTTGCTCCATCTGAAATTATAGATATCCAATATCCTAACGGTATGAAAGTAGATATGGGTAAAGAATTGACTCCCAAACAAGTCAAAGATCGTCCCACAGTTAGATGGGCAGCAAAAGAAGGTGAATATTACACTTTAGCTCTCGTTGATCCCGATGCTCCGAGTCGCGAAAATCCTAAATTTCGTGAATGGCACCATTGGCTGGTTGGCAACATTTATGGAGGCGATTTGAACAAAGGTGAAGTACTTTCTGATTATATTGGTTCTGGACCTCCAAAAGGCACCGGTCTACATCGTTACGTATTTTTAGTTTATAAACAAGCTGAAAAATGTGATTTTACGAAAGTACCGAAACTCCCAAATAACTCGGGGGACAAGAGAGGAAAATTTTCGATTTCTAGATTTGCTGAGCAGTTTCAATTGGGTTCGCCAATTGCTGGGAATTTCTATTTCGCAAAATATGACGATTATGTGCCGAAATTATATGCACAACTAAAAGGCTAAAATGTTTAATGTTTTGGAAAACCGATAATCGGTACTTGTTTTTTAATCTGTGCTCACGAGAGAATGGACAGCATTTGTCTATGGTTTTGATCGATAATTATTTCCGCCTCCGCGTGACAATCGCATTTTTGGAGCAGTCGCCATATAATCCGCCATTACATTTTGGAGTTTGCGTAAATTGGTCGTTGCACTGTCTGCGGGCATAACACACCTAGCGGTTATCAGTGACAGTTTTTGGTGTTCGTGCGTCGTATCGCAGCGTTTTGTTTAAACAAAGAGAGCTACGTTTAATCGTATGTCCATCCAGAATCTCAACACATTCGACCCATTCGCCGATGCTATCAAAAGCTCGGAAGACGACGTACAAGATGGACTAGTCCATGTCCGGATCCAGCAGCGGAACGGGCGCAAAACTCTGACAACGGTGCAAGGCCTGTCATCGGAATATGACCTGAAGAAAATCGTGCGGGCATGCAAGAAGGAGTTTGCGTGCAACGGAACCGTCGTGGAGCACCCGGAGTACGGCGAAGTACTGCAGCTGCAGGGCGACCAGCGAGAGAATATTTGCCAGTGGCTTACTAAATCGGGGCTCGTGAAACCGGAACAACTTAAAGTGCACGGCTTCTAAGTTCCCGCGCCCCCAAACATAACATGTTCTCGTCGTGACATCATCATAGTTCTATATAATATAATGAAATTGTGCGCATTATAACCCTAAATAAATATGTATCTAGAAAGCATCGATGTTTACAGAGATTATTGGACACGGCCTTGCGGCCCGCGCCCTGTGCCTTGCTGTCACCTAATGTAATATAAAATGTGGATATTTTTTAATACAACGCCGTCAACGTGTCAGACAGCTTTAGTTGCAAATTGTCGCCGAACGAAATAGTATAATCAATTTTTGTTTTTCCTTTTATATTACGTAAATATAAATTGCTGAAATATGTGATGTCTCAATTAATAATAAACATGTTTTTCTAAATTTGTCTCTTCATTTGAACTTCTATACCTCGGTAACGTGGTATTTACCGCTGTTCACCTTGTTTGTGTCGAGATTATAAGCAAATACACTGCATTAGGTTACCTTGATAACTTGCATTATAAATAATGTTTGCTAATGCTAACAAACCAGGAACCTTATCTAAAAATTACATTCCGCTCCGTTAGCACCTAACGGTACAGGTAATGCAAAAATGTGAAAGTAGGTCTCCCCAACGGGACTTTTTCACAGGTTGGCTGAACTGTATTTAAAAAAACATTAACCCTTCATTTTTATTGCAGTTTAAAGTGTATTTTTATAAACAACTACACGATTATTTTCCATTGACTGAATAATTCTGCATTATGCATACAACTATTGTTAATAACTGTATGGTTGCTATTGATCATTAAAATTAATTTATTCCACTTCCATAAGGATTGTGCGCAAACGGGGATCTCGACGGCATTATGGACTCATGAGTCATGACCTCGATTTAGCCGCAGTGAGGTCAGGCTTTTATAGAAAATTACGATAAAATAATTGAAATAAACTTCTTTTCTTACATTTTCACAATAATTAAATTTATTGCATTAACCAATTTATAAATCCGTCTATGCATTTACATTACACATCTTTTAGTTTTATGACTTTTAATGTGCGTAAAAAATTAATGTGCGACCAGGAATCGCAAACCATTTGGAGAAATGAAATTGGATTCTTGGAATATCTTAATTCTTGTTATAGATCAGTTTGCCGTTTGGTAAACTACAACATTCGTCGTTTTTAGATGTCTGCCGGTTGTTTTGTCTAGCTTATTAGTATTGACTGTTCGTAGGTATGTTCTAGTTATTCATATGCATTACATGACGATGACGTCATAGTTTCGTGACGTCAACTACACAATACTTAAAATATACGTCGTAGAACAATTCAACTATATTAAAGGTATGTTATTGCGGACAATTCGAAAATCGGTTGCCTAAGAAAAATTGCGATGATTTGAGGTTTATTAGACCACATGCAAGAAGAAAGCTCGATAAACTTTTTTCTGTGAGGACTTAGTCGTTTTAGTCTATTTCCGTGTATAATCCTAAGGAAAAAAACAGGGAATAGGCAAAGATATCGTGGGCGCTGTTAATATTGTCCCCTTGGCTTCTCAATTCTTAAAATATTAGCTAATGTAATGTGGCCAAAAGACATGATTTTGGCAGAATTTATGGGTGTCACTGCTGTGAAGTTAGTCATTATTTTGACATTTGACGTTTTGACATTTAAGTTTTTCTTGGCAAGAGATTTCATCTTACTTTCGCAAAAATTTAATAATCTTTGCAAAATAAAAGTCAGAAAACATTTATTAAGCTCGTAATAAAATGTTTACTTTCCAGTATATTTAGGCAATTACATGCTAAATAAATAATTGATATTTCTTACCAATAAGGTATTGAGTAGTTTATTCTTTTTAATTTCTTTTATTGCACAGTTAATTGAAGATTCGTGGTTTTTATTAAATTTTCAGTATAAAGGCTCTATACAAAGTTAATCATGACGGATAAAGTCTTGTCTCTCGGTCAGCGAGTAATTCTGGTTGCTAAGGATGTAAAAGGTACCGTGGCGTACGTCGGGTACCCAACTTTCGCTTCGGGAAGATGGGTTGGAGTGATATTGGATGAACCTAAGGGAAAGAATAATGGTACATTACGTGGTCATGCTTATTTTCGTGTAAGTATTTTCAAGTTGAAATATTCGGCAAAATTTAATGAAATAAAAAATTTTAGTAGCCTAAACCCTGGTTACCACCAGCTTAGTAATTTAGTCGAGTAACTACTTATCAGAGAAAACCCACTACGCAAGAAGATCAGTATCAACATCTTATTACATGTAGGGTATACTCTACATCTAGACTATTGTCTTGAAGAACACATAGGCTACTTACTTTTTTAAATTCCATGCAGACAGAGTCGAAAGTTAGGGGGATTATAAACGCAAAAGCTTGGATGGATGGTAAAGTTTGCAGTCTAAATTGCCGTACATATCTTGATGAAATATAGCATAGATGTAGAGGATAGTCTGGAAGAATATTAAAACTGACCTACCATTGTCACCATTGTCAACATTGTTAGCCATTCAATTCAACATCTTACTAATATTATAAATGCAGAAGTTTAGATGGATGGATAGATGGATGTTTGTTAGAGTTTGTACCCTAAACAGACGACGACACAACAGACTGCCAGGTACCATCCTCACCATCTTGATGGCTGGCATACCACAACCGTGCGGTTTTCGCGGAACTTTCTGCCCCGCACAGCCGCAATGTGGAATGGTCTGTCCTCGGCGGTATTTCCAAATCAATACGACTTAGGGTCCTTCAAGAAGCGAGCCTATCATGTCCTCAAAGGCCGGCAACGCATCTGTAGTTCCTCTGGTGTTGTGGATGTCCATGGGCGTCTGACCACCTTGGTGTTCACGCCGCTCGTTTGCCCCCTTTTATTATAAAAAAAAAAAACGGCTGAATGGATCTCCATGAAATTTGGCACAGATGTAGAGTATGGTGTGGAATAGGATACTCAGTTTTTTTTAATTTCATGCTGACGGAGTTGCTGGTGGATTGCTAGTATTCAATAAATATACATGATTGTTGATTAAAATTTCAGTGTGAAGAAAACTATGGTGTGTTTGTTCGCCCAACACAAATCCAGCTTTTGGACGGAGATGATAATCCAATAGACATGACAACTTCAACAGAGGAACCATCTATTATAAAATCTTCAAGTAATCGAAGACTTAGCAGGTATGTTGTAACTATGTAAGGGTAAACACTTAGTTTTATTTTAATTTGAAATGAATGTATCCTTTTTACAACACTAGCTAACTTTTGCCCGCGACTATCTGTGCGGAATTAAATAAATGCTTAGTAGCTGTGTTCTTTCAGACTGTGTTATATTGTACCACATTTCATCCAGATTCATTTAGCAGTATAGGCTACAAACATTCATGCAAACATAATATTAGTAAGATTATATTCGTATTGAGTCACAGAATGTTTCTTAATAAAGCTTTTTGGTGTAAGGAATGGTGTGTAAGCCTAATGAGGCTTGTCCTAGAAAAACAGTTACTTGTGTACACGCAATTTTGGACACAATTGACAGTTTTAGTCGAAAATCGGGTAACTTTAAAACTGAGGAAAATCCAGGAACATACTTTGGGATTCAATGATCTGCCAGTTAAGAATCACTGTAACTCAACACAAAGGAAAAGATGAATGTGTGTTAGAGTTTGTAGCCTAAACTGCTGAATCTCTGTGATTTTGGCAATGTAGCTGATAGTCTGGAAGAACTTATAGCATATCTTTTTTTGTTTTTTTTTAGCTAGTGTTATATAAAAGGATACATGAGTTTTTAACAGATAAATAAAGGTTTTGCATGAATCTAATATTTTTAAATTATTTGTTTGATTTGGTTGAAATAAATAAGGTTAAGGATTACTTAAACCAAATTAAAATTTAATATTTATAAGTTACTTTTAGATAATGAATTAAATGCAAGTATCAAGAGTATTTAACATGACTATAAATATAAGAAATTAAATAGTATATATTCCTGTAAATGTGTATTCAACTGTGTATTTTCTTAAAATGATGGATTTTAGTTGAAATTTAAAGATTGTTTGTGTTTCTTAGTAAAAAAAGATGGTAATATCTAAAGACATTAAGTGCCTGTCCCACTACTGGCTGATAGAGGCTCAGATTGCTTAAAATGACGTCATCGACAGATAATGGATCAAAATCCTATTATCTATACTAATATAAAGAGAAAAAAAATGTATTTTTGTATGTATTGAAATAACTCAAAAACTACTGGGCCGATTTCAAAAATTCTTTCTTCATTAGAAAGGTCATTTTTCTGTGAGTAACATAGGCTATGTTTTATATTATTATTTAAATTTCACGCGAGCGAAGTCGCCATCAACAGCTAGTGTAAGATATTTCCATCAAATTTTATATGTTGGATTGTTAACAGACAATTTACGAATTGTTAAGACTATCACTAATACATTTTAAAGCACTTTAACAGATTAACAATATGCTAACATAATGTGATTAAAGTCCTAGACCACAAATGTTGACCCCGAGTCCTGATGGACATACAAGGATCAAACGGTACACGGTACACATTGAGTACAGGACGCAAGTAATCTATTCTATAGCTAGTGTTGCTATCAATGAGTTGCCAGCTAAATTACAGTAATATAATAAATGTGAAAGAAAGATGGATGGATGTTTCTTGGTAGCCTGAATTGATGAACGGATATCTATGAAATTTGGTATAGATTTTGACTATAGTTTCTTAGCGCCTATCAATGTCAAAGTCTCATAAGATCCTTGTAATACTGTTTGTAGAAATATATCTTTGTAGGGCTATATGTTGCTAGGATTTGACAGCGGTCAAAAATCTCCATTGGTTGTTTTGTGGTAATGGTTAAATTAAGCTATTTGGTTTTTTTTTATTGTTTAGGTATTTTTATGTGTGTTCTAAGAGTGCTAGGATTAGTAATTGGTGTGGGTTTGAGCTAAAAATATGTACAGTAGTCATTTTGTGTATATACAGGAATATTGTGTACTGTACAGTGGGTGACACTGTCCAGCAGACACACTGACAATATATTTGAAAAGACTGTGTCCAGTTTTCAAAAATGACCTGTCAATAAATTATTACCTACTGTACAGATGTTTTAGTGAAAACTCGTGCTTATACTAATAGATTGTCTTTTCACTTAGTAATTAAGTTATAAAAAATGTGTTAGTATTAGAAATATCATCAAAAACCATCACATTAATATAATTGTGAATAGAAAAAGAAAATTATTATTTTTTTAGAATGTTCATGTTTTAGTTAGTAGGAAAGTACTGTGTTAATAAAATTCCCCTAAATTAAGTATTAATTTACTGTAGAATTTTTAATTCAGTGTATTCAAGTTTAAAATGTATATCTTTTTCTATTCAACGATAAAATGATATAATAGACTAATAGTATGTTTTAACATAACATAGACTGATAGTATGTTTTGTTCCTGGCTAGTATAACAGTCGCGCAGAGATCTAGGCCCACCACGTGAGTACTATTGTGCTAGCACTCTTGCTTCGCTTCTCACACGCCTAGATTGGATAGACAAAAGTATGTACCAAATTAAAATCAATAACTCGTAAAGAAACAGTTCAACTAAAATTATGTTTTAAAATCGTTGTTCTAGTATTATCTGTATAAAAAGTTAGTGATGTTTCTATTACGTTAATGTTTTATTTTGGTATAAATTATTATTACTAAATAGTAACAAATTTAACTTTCTTTTCTCTCAACTAAGTGATTTTAGTTGCTACCTTCCGTTTATATTATGCCTTTTTTATGTTCTAGTATTTATATTTTGAATTTTGTTCCATAAATAGTAAATCTTGTACTTTTAAATACAACATATTATTCGTATTTTTGATGGTTATGTTTCTTCTTTAAAGAAGACTTTATTTTTTCATTTTATTTAAACATTTACACCACTAAATAAAAACTACCATGAAAATTGTTAGTCACATTATGTTTATGATATAAATTTTATTATTTCTTAGTTGCGAGAATATTAATATACATGTTTTAGTGATGTAAGTGCTATATTTGTTAAGAAATATATTTAATACTCAAATTTATAAGAAAAATATTTCAACCCCGATTCTATGTTAATCATTTGTAAATAATAGATGTACTTAATTTATGTTTTGTGCTGCCATCGCGTTCCATATGTGTATGTTTCTATAAGTATATAATTAATATTATTGGTAAATGCCCCGTGAAGTGTGCGGAGGAAGGCGTCCCCGGCCCAGACAAAGGCCGGCACGCTATCAATGTCGAGGTAAATATTGTATTGTTTACTGCAATATGTAAATATGTAGTTCTTTCTTTGCACTATTTTGGAACAGAATACGGCTTTCATGTTGTAACAATTCGCACAGCACAATGTTGTAATATAGTGTACTGCTTTTATGTTGTAATAGAATTTGCAGATCACTATGTTGTAATGCAGTGTACTAATTTTATGTTGTAACATAGAATTTTCACACCACTATATTGTAATACAGTATACTGCTTTTATGTTGTAACAGAATTTGCAGATCACTATGTTGTAATGCAGTGTACTAATTTTATGTTGTAACATAGAATTTTCACACCACTATATTGTAATACAGTATACTGATTTTATGTTGTAACAAAATTTGCACATCATTATGTTGTTATACAGTATACTGCTTTTATATTGTAACATAGAATTTTCACAGCTCAATATTTTAATGTAGTGTACTGCTTTTATGTTGCAACAGAACTTGCAGATCACTATGTTGTAATATAGTGTACTGCTTTTATGTTGCAAAAGAACTTGCAGATCACTATGTTGTAATATAGTGTACTGCTTTTATGTTGCAACAGAATTTGCACATCACTATGTTGTAATATAGTGTACTGCTTTTATGTTGAAACAGAATTTGCAGATCACTATGTTGTAATATAGTGTACTGCTTTTATGTTGCAAAAGAACTTGCAGATCACTATGTTGTAATATAGTGTACTGCTTTTATGTTGCAAAAGAATTTGCAGATCACTATGTTGTAATATAGTGTACTGCTTTTATGTTGTAACAGAATTTGCACATCACTATGTTGTAATATAGTGTACTGCTTTTATGTTGCAAAAGAACTTGCAGATCACTATGTTGTAATATAATGTACTGCTTTTATGTTGCAAAAGAACTTGCAGATCACTATGTTGTAATATAGTGTACTGCTTTTATGTTGCAACAGAACTTGCAGATCACTATGTTGTAATATAGTGTACTGCTTTTATGTTGTAACAGAATTTGCACATCACTGTGTTGTAATGCAGTGTACTGATTTTATGTTGTAACATAGAATTTTCACAGCTCAATATTTTAATGTAGTGTACTGCTTTTATGTTGTAACAGAATTTGCACAGTACCATGTTGTAATACATTGTACTGCTTTTATGTTGTAACATAGAATTCGCTTTGTTCAAGAGATTGTGTTCTAATAAGAAGATACTGTTTGTAAATATATTCTTGGCTCCAACATAACATTTTGTAAATAGTACTCTACTATTTTAGGTAAAGCAATTTTTCACTTATGCTGAAAATATATCGCACCTTTTTGTGAATTATTATCACATTGCATTTGTACTGCACTATGTTTTAAAATATATAAAATTTATATTTAAAATATTGCACAATAGTGAATATGCATGTATTTTTTTATTTTTTTAAACGATTCTACTTGTTATAAAATAACCAGAAAAAAAAATTGACCCGAAAATATTCAACCATTGAGCTAAAAATTACAGTAAAATACTTCAAGAGTGTATTTCTATATAAACTAACGTAAATGAACTGTGTATTGTCAACACAGCGACGCCATATTAGATAAGCCACTTGCTTCGACCAATAGTGTGCGTTTTAGAACTTAGCGAGGGAATTTGAAAAAAGACACTTTTTAATGATTAAATTTTGCCACTAAATCACATTACATTAAAAAAAATCTTTGCAGGAATGTTTTTATAGTAACAAACTATACTTAAAAAAAGTTTGGTGCAATTTGGCGTCATATGGATATTGCCTATTGAAGGGTGTTCTTGTATGTTTCAAAGTAGTCTAGGTCCAGGGATCGAATTAAGATTTTCGATTTATTGTAAAATTCCTATCACAAGTCTAGTGTTGAATGGTACAGTCGCGGACATCCGCAGTGTCCCACTTTAGGAAAAATTGCTTTGTTCATTGCAACGAAATAAATTCCGCCTCTTACAAATAACTAATTATATTACTGAGTGCACGAAAGGATAATAATAAAAAGAAACTAATCGTTTACTAACAGACTATTTTTCGTTCGTATATTTATAAGCTGCGTTGTGTTGATTTTTGTTCAGCGTCTCGTTTTAAAAAGTTCAAATTATTGTAGTTTTTAAAGTGGAACACCGAAATTTTTCCCGATTGTACATGAAAATTTAATGAATTAATAAAAACTTGCTTATGTTATTATCACATTGTATTGCCAGAACGTTGCTTGATATTGCATGTTATACTTCTTAACGATAAATGTAAACACCACACACGATTATTGTAACTATATTGAGATGTTTTACTAAAAGGAAATAGTTTGGTTTTAAATGGAATTGTGTGGTCGTTTTTTGGATTATTTCTAACCGTCACCCTGCTCTGTCCCCATGTGAGAATAAAAAGTTTCAACCTTCCCACCTTTTAGTCCCAATATCACTAATAAGGTGACAGATGGAATTGTTATGATTTTTTTTTCTCATCTGTCCCCACGTAGGGACAGCGGGGTGACGGTTAGGAATAATCTTTTTTTTTTACGGTTGTTGTATATTCTGGTTTGGATGCTTTGTGGTTTTTGGTTTTTATAGAATAAAAGAGTCGAAGAATATTTATACTTTGTTGATGTTCTTGGATTCTATTTCATGCTTTATAAAAATGTTTATTGTTTGTTCACTGAGAGGCTCTGAGCCTACCCTAAGCTTCCCCTAACTTAGGCTAGGCAAAGAGCCAGGCCATAGTTTGTTTAGGCCATAGTTAACTGGCCCACTGCTTTAGATAAAAATTTTTCTAATATTGTTGATTTTGTTTTTTTTTGTATTACTATTTACTTACTTGTTGTAACAAAAGTAATTCAGATTAAAAAGTTTAGAAAGGTTAACTACGGCCGTTTTAGTGCTAGATGCCTCTAGCCTCATCGGCTGGAGACAATCATATGTTGGTGACCTTTTTCTTAAGAGAGTCATCAACTTGTTCTTGTCCCTAAAGAGGGTCTGCTTAGTATACAGGGTGATTCTTAACGGACAGAACACCGGATTTGTTGAGGTAGAGGTCCTCAATAGCTTTAATTTACGCAAAGTATGTTGCCTGATTCTCTATAGTTTTAATTTTTTTTTTGTAAACATATTGGAAAAATCAAGTTTTCGACTTAAACCTGGTAGAGAAATTAAAAGAACAACTCTAAACACATTACTTTGGACGTACGGGTAAATTTAAGTCGGAATTCTGATTTTTCTTATATCTGTACAAAACCGTTGGTCCGTTCGGTAAGAATCACCCTGTATACTACTTACATCTCTATAAGGCATATCTGAAAGCACTCCAACAAGCATATTGAAAGTAACAACTGACATCATTGACTAAACAATCGCACACTGTTGTGTATTGTCGATTGTTTTAGCAATTCAACTGTTTGCACCATATAAGCTCTTAGGAAGCAAGACTAAACAGTTTTGCGATGATTTGTCAAAGGCTGTAAATGAATAGAATGTGTACAGTGGTACTATTTGATTCAGTTCCAGGACATCTTTAGCGAGCAGTCGACAGTCTCTAACCTCGTATACATCGCCGACAACTGAAAGAGCAACGTCGCCGGAATTGACTAAAAGAGCTTCATTTGTTGAGGTGACCTTGAAATTTATTACTTAACTAGCTTTCGTCCCCGACTCCATCAGCGAGGAATTAAAAAACACAAAAGCTTATGTTTTCTTCCAGACTATCCTCTACGTCTATGCCAAATTTCATTGACAACCGTTCTTCCATTTAGGCTTCAAATTCTAACAAACATCAATCCAATAAACCGTCCATCTATCTAAACTTTTGCTAATATATATTAGTAACATGTCGGAGTTTTTAAATTATGTGTTTTGAATCCGACCCTGTCGTATAGATATAGCTCTGACTCGTAAATTAATTTTATAACAGGGTTGGATTTAGAAATGGCTTCATTTATGAAATATTAGAATGTATAAAAATTATAGTTATATTACTAGCTTTCGCCCGCAAGTCCGTCCGCGTGGAATTAAAAAAAAAGAAGCCTATGTGTTCCTCCAGACTATGCTTTACATGTATGCCAAATTTTTTCGAGATCCGTTCAGCAGTTTAGGCTACAAACTCTAACAAATATCCTTCCTTCTAATTTAAATTCAAAGATATGTGTGAAGTCAACCAACCCGCAGTGCAGGTTGACTATGGCCTAGTCACCCTAACTTAGGGTAGACTCAGAGTCCCTCAGTAGATATAAAAAGCTGGTGATGAAACTTAAGAAAGATATATATTTTCAGACTAATTTCGTTGAGACTCTAACCCCTCAATACACGCCGGGTCAGAGTCTCACCTCCCCCCAACCCGTGTCTAACGCGGTAGAAGACAAGCTGGCGAACATGCAAGCACAACAGGAGGTATGCTGTGTCCATATTAGACGAAACCAATGTTTTCTAATGTTTGTAATTACTTTGAAGTAGAGTACCAACATTATTAGAGCTTTTACAATCGTTTTTTTCAATCTGTGTTACTTAAGATTGCTTGAATTCGATATTACAATATTATTTTATTGTTTACATTTGTCAAATTATCGATAGCAAATGTCACTGACATGACATAACAAACCTTGACAATATTTCTTGATGTTGGCAGCAACTTATGGTCTCTTTCCCACATTAGAGTTTTTAGCCAAAATATTTACCCCTAAGTTTAATAGCGTGAAAATATATAGCCTAAAGCGTGACGTAAGTGTAGGGCTTTTTATTTAAAAAATAATTATTAAAAAATATGTTGTAATTGCTGAGATCTTAGGTAACAAAGAAGTGTGTGTTTACGCTTTATTATATTGGTATTGATTAGATTACGCCCGCGAAAATTGAAAAAAAAACAAGAGTAAGTAGCCCATGTGTTCTTCTAGACTATCCTCTACATCTAAGCCAAATATCATCGAGATCCGTTTAGCAGTTTAGGCTACAAACTCTAATAAAGATACAATTAAACTTTCACATTTTTAATATTAATAAGATTACCGTAGGTAAGAAATTTTTTGCTTTTTAGTCGCATCCTGTGAAATTAAAAAGAAAATAATGCTTTCTTATGGTTAAAGTTTCTGTAAATCAGTCTAGATTTTTTTTTTAGCTGATTACATATAAAAATACAAATCTTTTATCTATACTATATTATAATAAAGCGTAAACACACACTTCTTTGTTGCCTAAGATGTCAGCAATCACAGCATGTTTTTGAATAATTGTTTTTTTAATAAAAAGCCCTACACTTATGTCATGCTTTAGGCTACATATTTTCACGCTATAAAACTTAGAGGGTAAATTTGGATAAAAACCCTAATGTGGGAAAGAGACCAAAAATTACCGCCAACATCAAGGAAGCAAGATTGTCATCATGTCATGTCATTTTGACATTTTTAATTGATAATTTGACAAATGTAAACAATAAAATAAAATTTTCATAATTTCATGCGGATGAAGTCGCACGGGAACAGCTAGTATTTATATAAATTTTAATCGTCAACAGATAACAAATCTGAAATCCGAAGTGGAAGATCTGAAAGAGAAATTGGAGACGTTAAGAGTGAGACGCGCAGAAGATAGGGAGAAGTTGAAAGAGTTGGAAAGAGTACGTCTGCAGTTGGATCAGGCGAACGAGTTTAAGACGAAGATAATGGAGTCTAAAGCACAATTACAAAGAGATCTACAAAGAGCTAAACAGGAGGTAAGTTTATAGAATTATTTAGGTATTGTCATCACAGTGGTAGTGCCCGCTTTAACATGTTAGCAGTGCAGGGCACGCCCCCAGTAATACCACGACCACACAAGACAGGCGTGAAGTGGAAGCAATTCCGTGTTTCGTCTGATGAATGTGGTGCCGGAGGCCTAATTTAAGTCCCTTTCTCTTTACCACCCTTTTCTTATAAGGAGAGGTTGGGAAGGGGAAGTGGATTTCACTGTGGAGGAGATGCATAGGAAGGGGAAATATTCTCTTTATGTGCGTCTCCTCCTCCGTCGTATAAGGGTAAGCAACGCATCTGCAATTATGGATGTCTATGGGCAGTCGCTTCGCCATTTTGGCGGTTTCAGGTGGCCGCTTGCTCGTTTGCCACCTTATGTTATAAAAAAAAATGTTATGAGAAGGGATGAATCGCATTTAACAAGACGGACGTTAGTTATGAATGTGGAGGTAGAAATAGAAAGAGATGGATGGATTGCGTGAAAGGTGACATGATGAAGGAAGTGATGACAGATGACGATGATAGAGTGCTTTGGAGGACGAAAACCCTGTGCACCGACCCTACGGGAGTAGGATAAGGGAGGGGAGAGGATCTATTATCGGTTATAATGAAAGACCAGCATATTGTTAAGTGGTTTTTAAATAAAAAAAATAAAGAAAATCGACATCTTCTAACCCTACTCCCGTAAGTCGCAACAGGGTTATATCCTCCACATAACTCATACGTCATCTCAGTCACTTCTTCATGTCACTTTTCACAGAATACATCTCTTTCTATGTCTACCTCTATCAGTGTACCACACTCATAACTAAAAAAAATCAAAACAATCTACATCCTCCTACCATACATTTTCTCTTTTTATACAAGCATAGAATACATTTTAACAGTGGTAGAGTCCGCTTTAACGTCTCACTGTAGAGCTCTCCCACCACAGAAGATAGGAAGTGGAAGTAATTCCACGTATAGATGAATGTGCGGTCTAATTTTAGTCCCTTACCCTTTCCATAATTTTTTATAAAGAAATGATGGCGAGGGGAAAATTCATTTGAGGATGAAGGCGCATAGGAAGGGGAAATATCCTCTCTATGTGCGTCTCTGTCGATTAAGAGTAACGCATTTGTAATTCCTGATGTCTGGGCAGCGGTCGCTTCGCCTTTTCGGCGAATATAGGTGACCGCTTGCTTGCCACCTTATAATTTTTTTTTATAACATAAGGTGGCAAACGAGCAAACGGCCACTTGAAATCGCCAAAATGGCAAAGTGACCGCTGCCCATAGACATCCGCAATTGCAGATGCGTTGCCTACCCTTATCAGACGTAGGAGGAGATGCACATAAAGAGGATATTTCCCCTTCTTATGCATCTCCTCCACTGTCATATCCACTTCCTCTTCCCATCCTCTTTTAAGAAAAGGGTGGTAAAGAGAAAGGGACTTAAATTAGGCCTCCGGCACCACACTCATCAGACGAAACACGGAATTGCTTCCATTTGACGCCCGTCTTCTGTGTGGTCGTGGTATTACTGGGGGCGTGCCGGCCCTGCAGTGCTAAGATTTTAAAGCGGGCACTACCACTGTTAAACTACTTCACTAACCTTATAAATTCTAGCACTGTTTCTTAGAAGCTACTGTTTTCAAGGTCCGTGAAGCTCAAGAGGCTTTAGAAGTACACAATGAAGAAACAGCAGAGTTACAAGAGGCAGCAGAGATGGCAGCACTGGATAAGGAGATGGCAGAAGAGAGAGCAGAAGCTCTGCAGATGGAGTTGGAGCAGTGCAGGGATAAGTTGGAAGAAGCGACCCTGGATCTCCAGCTGATGAGAGCGGAGATGGAGGCTGGAGGGAATATACGTAAGTAGGAAACGCCCATTTGATAAGCTCCGCCCATTTCCAGATAAACCACGCCCAATTACATCAGAATTAGATAAAATTCGTGTTACTTTATATTGAGATGTACTTTTTTACGCTAGTTTACGTCAGCTATTACTTAAGTACTAGCTTACGCTCCTGGGTTCGGCCGCGTTAAACAAAAAAAAAATAAGTAGCCTATGTATTCCAGAGTATCCTTTACATCTGACTTTCATCGAGATCTTTTCAGCAGTTTAGGCTACAAACTCACTCTCTATTTCCTTCCATTTTAAAAAATATGGCAGTACCTACTTATATTAGATATTTTTTTGCTTTAATATGAAATATTATATTTGTAATACATAGTTCTTTTTGTAAGAAAGGAATATACAATAAAAAATAAAATGGAAATTGTAAAATCTTTTATAAATAATGTTGATTTTTTTATTGTTATGTGTAAATTAGATACGGCACACATTTCACACAAACGCTTTTTAATTATATGTTTTATTTATTTATTTAAATGTTTGTGTTAGATATTTATTGTCGAATAACTTTATATTTTATATATTTATATTTATTGTTATATCACATCTTTGACCAAACTCTCGCACAACTGTTCAGTCTGTTGATTCCTATTCCTATGAGAGCACTCGATTTCTAGTGCAACTAAACAGTTGAATTACTGAAACAATCGGACAGTTGTGAGATAGCTTAGTCAAAGGTGTGCCCGTTCTTATGTATTTTATACGAGCTGTTGCCCGCGACTTCGTCCGCGTGGTATTAGAAAACATACGAACTATATAAATAACAAAAAGCTACGTATCCCTCGGGAACCAGACATTTCTCGGGGATGAAGCTTATCCCATGTGTACTCCAGACTTTGTTTTATATCTGTGCCAAATTTCAATAAGATATGTTGAACCGTTGCACAATGATCGAGTAAACATTAAAAAACTAAATTAATGAATCCCACGGGAACCGTAACTATTCCCGAGATAAAAAGTAGCCTATGTGTTCTTCCAGACTATGCTCTAAACCTGTGCCAAATTTCATGGAGATCCGTTCAGCCGTTTAGACTACAAACGCTAACAAACATCCATCCATCCATCTAAACTTTCGCATTTATAATATTAGTAAGATTATATTTTTATTTTTATAGACCTATTTACTCAACTTATGCATGTATGTATAACATATTATATTTATTCATATCCATTATGTATATTTGACGTTTTATACATTTTGTGTTGTTTTAATTTTGCAGCATGTTTTATTTTTGTCTCCCTCTGACTATGACTGGACTGTCTATAACTATGCTTAGCTCTATCTTGTCTATGATTTATTCATTGTTAGAAGTGTTAACAGTAGTAGAGCCCGCTTTAACATCTTCGCACTGTGGCGTGAAGTGGAAGCAATTCTGCTTACAGTCTGATGAGTGTGGTGCCGGAGGTCTGATTTTGGTCCCTTTCCCTTTCCATCCTTTTCTTAAGAGGAAAGAATGGGAAGTAAAAGTGGATTTGACGGTGGAGGAGACGCACAGGAAGGGGACATGTCCTCTTTATGTGCGTCTCCTCCTCCGTCAATGAAGGGTAGGCAACGCTGCAATTGCGGATGTTTATGTGCAGCGGTCGTTTTCCATTTCGTTATTTTAGTAATAAATAATATATTTTTATTTATTTGGAAAATAATTAGTTTCTACTTTAAAATATATGAAAAATATTAGCGATTTTTGTTGTAAAATTTCTTAACCAACTAATGATATTTAGTAATAGTTCTTTTGAATACCTTTTACATTAAAATGTGCAGTTTTTATGCTATTAGACAGAGACAGAAACATTTAGTGGGAGACAGCATGGTGACTAACTTAAAGTCGTGGACGGTTGAATATTATTTGCTTGTTATAAAATATAGAAACGTATCTTATCGTTTCTATGTTCAAAGATAGAATAGATTTCATTCCATTCACTCGTCACTCCTCGTTCGTTCTCAATATTGGTCTCCGGAGTGCATATGTGGCAACTTTTTCATTTATATTCTCCAGCGATATCATTCGTTCCTCTCTAAAGAATTAATAATACATTCCTCAATAAACAGACGCCTATATCTTGTGTGCGATTTACGCATGGGTCGGACGGTTTATACTCAAAGCTCCATTCGTTCCATTCTTCAATCTTTCTCCATTCATTCATTCAACAGTACTTCGGTGGACGTCACATATTTTAAATTGCTAGATATCATTCGTTTCGTTCACCATTCATTTCAACAACAACATGGCTTTCGTCTACCTCTGTCAACATACTATGCCTACAATATGATTCGTTTCAATTATCCATTAAACAACCACGTGGCTTCCTTTTGCATCTGACGACATTATATGCCTACAAAAAGATTCGTTCAACAACCGCATGGCATCCCTCTACTCTTAAGCCTGCGTTCATTCGTTCCATTCAATGACCGCGGGGCTTTCGTCTACGCCCAACATTCTATATAGCCTGCAATATCATTCGTTCAACGACCGCGTGGCATCCATCTCCTTCTATATCATATGTTCATTCGTTCCATTCGTTCAATTCAACCGTCCACATAGTGATGTGTGTAACGTGTGCGCGTGCTAACCAGAGCACCCGTACGCAGTGGGCGAGGGGGCGACAGGGTACGAGATGCGCGCACTCCAGCAGCAGAATGTACGGCTGCGGGACACCCTGGTCCGCCTCAGGGACCTCTCGGCACACGACAAGCATGCTATGCAGAAGATGCACAAGGTAAAGTACTTCGAACACTTGTGTTGTCCCGCGACTTTGTTCATTTGGAGTTTAAACTAACATTTCTGTGTAATGGATAATTTTAATCTCTTTCCACCTTTTTGATAAGGATGGGAAGGGAAAAAGGAGATGCATAGGTAGGGGAAATATCCTTTTTATGTGCGTTTCCTTCTCCGTTATTTAAGGGTAGGCAGTGGTCGCTTCGCCATTTTAACGGATTCAAGTGGTTGTTTGCTGGATTGCCTCTTAATTTTATAAAAAAACAAATTTTCTCTTGTTTAAAGCCTATTAGTTAATTATTATTATTTATTACAATTTAAGCGAAAAACAATGTTTATTTAAATCACAGGAATCTCTAAAATTATCTGTATTTATTTTACTATATTGTACATATAAACCTTCCTTTTAAATTACTCTCTCTATTAAAAAAAACTTCATCAAAATCTATTGCGTAGTTTTAAATATGTAAGCATGCATAGGGTTCGATAGACTGCGGGAAGTGACTGCTCAGAATTAAACAAAATACCAATTATTATATATGTTCTATGTTCTACATTTGTGACAAAATTTCATAAAAATGAATCGATTTTTGTCCTTGAGAAGCTTTCTTGTTTTTTACGTCGAAGTGAGCGTGATGTTATGAATGGAATAAGACGATTGACGTCAATTGTCTATTGACAAATCCGGTCGCGTTTTAGTCGCTCGAAAATGGTTGAAATTTTATTTTATTATTTTTAGCTCAATGGTTGAATATTTTCGCGTCAATTTTTTTTTCTGGTTATTTTATAACAAGTAGAATCGTTTAAAAAAAGAAAAAAATTACATGAATATTCCCTATTACGCTAGTTAGAATTACCAATTAATGTTTCCAGGATTTGGAGCAATACAAGTCGGAGATAGCTGAACTAAGCCGTACTAAGGAGAAGTTGTCATCGAGAGTCGAGGAGTTGGAGGCGCAGGTGGCTGATCTCCGGGAGCAGGTGGATGCGGCACTCGGGGCTGAGGAGATGGTGGAACAGTTGGCCGAGAAGAAAATGGCTTTAGAAGACCAGGTAAAAGACCTATGACAAGCTTTTTTGCCCTTATTTGTTGATATTATGGACCTCAAAGTTTATGTTATACCATAAATATGTATTACCATGCATTTAGTATAAATACTTTATTACTAGCTGTGCCCGTGCGGCTTACCCGCGTGAAATTATAAAAATATCATTTTATTGTTTACATTTGTCAAATTCCCTGTCTTGTAGTTTACGTCCATTTCCTGCTGATGGTTTTTCCAAATTATTTACTCCCTAACTGTCAGAGCGTGAAAATATATAGCCTAAAGTGTGTCGTAAGTCTAGGGCTTTTTAGTATAAAGAGAATTATACACAGCATATTTTTGAATAATTCTCACTTAATTTTTTTAAGATTTAGTCTATATATCACGCTATTAAACTTAGGAGGTAAATAAATTGAAAAAATCCCTTCATGTGCGAAAAGGACTATAAACTACATGCTGATATTAGGCACCCGTATTAAAAATAACATAAAGTGTAGCACAGGCGCCCTTTTTTGTCATTCAGGCGCCTGTTTTTGTCACAGAGGCGCCCTTTTTTGTCACTTAGGCGCCCGTTTTTGTCGCACAGGCGCCCATTTTGTGGCCTGTGGCGACCTGAGCAGTCTTACTTCTCTTGTAACACCAGTACTGTGTATCCAGGTGGAGCAGCTGAAGCAGGATGTATCCGAGCTGGAGGCGCTGCAAGAGGTCCACGAGCAGCTGGTGGAGTCCAACCGCGAGCTGGAGATGGACCTCCGCGAGGAGTTGGAGATGGCGCACGCCGCTACTAGAGAGGTGATACTGATGGACTTTTAATAGTTCCCGTACGACTTCATCTGCATGAAATTATGAAGATATTATTTTATTGTTTACATTTGTCAAATTACAAATGTCAAAATGACATGACACGATGACAATCTTGCTTCCTTGATGTTGGCAGCAACTTACCGTAAGTTGCTCTTTCCCACATTAGGGTTTTTATCCAAAATATTTACCCCCTCAGTTTAATGGCGTTAAAATATTTAGCCTAAAGCGTGACGTAAGTGTAGGGCTTTTTATTAAAAAAGAATAATTCAAAAATATGCTGTGATTTCTGACATCTTAGGTAACAAAGAAGTGTGTGTTTACGCTTTATTATAATAGTATAGATTACTGATATTATAAATGCAAAAGTTTAAATGTTATAATTTGTTAAACTGCTGAACGGATCTCGATGAAAGTCGTAGATGTAGAGGATTACACATAGGCTACTTTTGTTTCTAATTCCACGCAGAGTCGCGGGTGGTAGCTAGTCCTACATAACAATGTGTTTTATCTATACTATTATAATAAAGCGTAAACAAACACTTCTTTGTTGCCTAACATGTCAGCAATTGCAGCATATTTTTAAATAATTGTTTTTTAATAAAGCCCTACACTTACGTCACGCTTTAGGCTATATATTTTCATGCTTTAAAACATAGAGGGTAAATAATTTGGATAATGTGAAAGAGATCATAAGTTGCCAACATCAAGGAAAATATTGTCATTTGTGCTGAATTTTGACATTTCATGCGGATGAAGCCGCACTGCAACAGCTAGTTAATATATAATTGTTATATATTTTCAGGCTGTGCGTGAGAGAGAAGCTGCTATGGAGACGATAATGGACAGAGATGCAACCATCGTTAAGTTCAGAGAACTTGTACACAAAATGACTGAACAACACAACGAGATGAGAGCACAACTAGATAACAAACAAGGTACAATCTATATCAATAGTTAGGGCCTGTCCCACCAAATTGTAAATTGTCTGATAACAATCCAACCTGTGAGATTTTTTTTAGCCTTTTATTCCAGTAATTGGACCCCATTCTGAGTATAGGCCTCATAAGTCCCTATCTTTCCCTTTCTTCATCCATTCTTTTCCCACTTGTACGATATCGTTATTCCAACGTTATTTTGGTCTGCCGACTTTCCTTGCGCCTGGTGGGCCTGTCCATTTCGTGGTTTCTGTTGTCCACCTTCTGTCTGTGCAGCGTGCGACGTGGCCCGCCCATTGCCACTTTAGTGATAGTGCATGTCTTAGTGCATCTCTGATTTTTGTTTTTTGTTGTGGATGAATGGAAAAAAACATATTACGGATCAGGAAAAAACACAAAGTTCAAAATGTCAAGACACGACCTGTGAGATATGTGATGTAAATATCGGATTTTGTTACTTTATCTGACAGTTACATTTTTAATCTATCTGAGCTTATCAGCAAGTGGTGGGAAAGGCCCTTGGTGTAAGGCGTAAACACAATACTTCGTGACGTACGATGTCAGAAATCATATTATATTTTTGAATAATTCTGTCGATAGTAAAAAAACCTACATGTACGACACGCTTTTGGCTATATATTTTCACGCTAGTAAACTTAAGGGGTAAATAAAATGGAAAAAAACCCTTCATGTGGGAATGGGAACAAAAATAAAAACCTGATATCAAGGAAGCAAGGTTGTTTGGACAGTAAGGTATCTGTAAGATATCTTCCATTTATTATATCATTCTAGCTTTCGCCCGTGACTCCGTCCATGTATAATTAAAAAAAAATGAAGTATCCTATGTGTTCTTCCAAACTATCCTCTACATTTATACCACATTTCATCGAAATCCCTTCAGCCGTTTAGGCTATAAACACTAACATCCATCCATCTAAACTTTAGCATTTATAATATCTTACTGATATTTTCCTGATATAATAAACGGAATATACCGCGCCGAAAATCCAACCGAAATACCGAAAAAACCGCTCTTAAATTCCAGAATCACCAGCTCGCTCGGAGCAGGAGTCCAGCCCGGAGGTGCGGGCTTCGCCCCCGGGCGCTCCGGAGCTGGGGTCGCTGGTGCAGGCGTCGCGCGCCTCCACGCGCTCCGTGGACCTGCAGCTGCGCGCGCTCGAGCTGGCGCAGGCGAGGGCGCGCGCCGACATGCTGGCTGCCTGTCTGCCTGACCACTTTATGGCTAATGCTGGTTAGTTACACTAAGATATGTATTGACAGGGGAGAGACATTGAGACAGTGAAAGGGACTGCGGAGGGTATATGCAGGCAGGGGAGGGAATTAGTGAAAAACGGGATATGTGAACAGGGGAGTTGTGATTTGTGCAGGGGAGGGGATATGCGGGCGGGGGAGGGAATATGTGAAAAAAACGGGAAATGTGAACAAGGGAGAAGTGTTTTAGACGGGAGTGGATATGTGGACAGGGGAGGGGATATGTAAATAGCGGGATATGTGAACATGGGAGAAGTCATTAGGACAGAGGAGGTGATATGTGGATAGAGGATGGGCCCACTAGAAGTAGTTTATTTAACGGGCAAGAAGTGTTAATTTGACAGGGGAGGGGTCGTATGACTGGGAGGAGATGTTACTATGACAGGGGAGCGGGTAATACTCAGAGGTAGGTACTGACAGTCAGGCGTGGTTATTTGCAGCCTGGGGAGGGGACTAATAACTGTCGGTGATCACTACTAGCAGAGGATGGGGTATTCTTTCGACAGGGGAGGTGTGCTTTTTGTATTAAAAATACAGATTGTAATATAATTAAAAATAACTATATTTATTATTCAATATGAGTACTTTTTGTATTAAAAATTGTTTTTTTTTACATTTTCCAGGTGACCACGATGCGATACTACTTATTCTGTTACTGCAACGTTTGAATACCAAAGCTGATATAATATTGGGACAAATAAGAGAGAAGTGAGTAAAATATTAAACCAATGGTGCGATTAATCAAAAATCCTTTTTTTTATACTATAAGGTGGCAAATAAACTTTTTTTTAAGTAATAATCGTTATATTTCAGGTTCCCAGCGGTGAATGTATGGGACAGGGAAGTGATAACAAAGACCCATACAGCGGTGCAGTACAGCTTCAGATGTCAGCTGGAGTACCAGCTCCATATGATACAGGTAATCTATATACATATAATAAAATTGGAGTGTCTGTTTGTAATATCAAAAAGAAACATTCGATAAAAATGAAGATTTCGGAAAGATATTTTGCGATAGTTAAACAATTTTTGTCTGTCTGTCTGTCTGTCCGCAAATGCGGCTTGCGGACAGACAGACAGACATTCCGGGTAATCTCCAAAACGGCTAAGCCGATTTCGACGGGAATTTCACTAGAGGGTAGCTGACATAGACGGCTATATTATAGGCTACTTTTCTATCTTAATGTTGCGTGAACGAAATCGCAGGCAACAGCTAGTACGCAATAAAATCCCAATATCTAAGGCCTTTCTTACACGAGGGACAGATGACGTATGATAGAGTTATGTTTTTTTTTTTTTATATATCATAAGGTGGCTAACGAGCAAGCGGCCACCCGAAACCGCCAAAATGGCGAAGCGACCGCTGCTCATAGACATCCGCAATTGCAGATGCGTTGCCTACCCTTATACAACGGAGGAGGAGACGCACATAAAGAGGATATTTCCCCTTCCTATGCATCTCCTCCACCTTCAAATCCACTTCCTCTTCCCAACCTCTCCTTATAAGAAAAGGGTGGTAAAGAGAAAGGGACTTAAATTAGGCCTCCGGCACCACACTCATCAGACGAAACACGGAATTGCTTCCTGACGCCTGTCTTCTGTGTGGTCGTGGTATTACTGGGGGCGAGCCCTGCACTGCTAAGATGTTAAAGCGGGCACTACCACTGTAAAAATGTGGAGGACAAAAACCTGTTACGCCTTACTAGAGTAGGATAAGGAAAAAGATGGTAGTTTTTAACAATTTATTTATTGATTCTAGCGATATTAATTATAATACTGCACTCGAGATCTTGTCCCTCGTCAGGAATGCGCGCGAAATTAATTCTTACTGACATTGACAGCTGTCAGAAATGTGACGTTTATGCCGATAATCTAGTGTTGCGCCAATAGGGAATATCCATGTATTTTTTCTTTCTTTAAACGATTCTACTTGTTATAAAATAACCCAAAAATATTCAACCATTGAGCGAAAAATAATAAAATAAAATTACGACCATTTCCGAGCGACTAAAACGCGACCGGAGTTGTCATGAGACAATTGACGTCAATCGTCTTATTCCATTCATAACTTATGCTAAGATGTCACTTCGACGTAAAAAACAAGAAAGTATCTCATTGCTTCTAAAGGTCAAAAAGTCAAAAATCTAATTTGAAAAAGACACTTTTTAATGATTAAATTTTGCAAAAAAAAATCTTTGCAGGACTTTTTTATTGTAATAAAGTATACTTAAAAAAAAGTTTGGTACAATTTGGCGTCATATGCATATTGGCTATTGTTAATTTCCAGTGTCTAGTCAGCATGTGGTCCGGTGCCCTGGAGTGCTGTACTCCGGAGCTGCTGCTGCGGGCTGCGGGCGCGCTGCCGGACGCGGCTGCGCAGGAACGAGCATTAGACGCTCTGACGTCACTGCTCAGGACCAACGAGCTGGACGAGAACTGCTCACTTGATGGTAATTAAATTATTTAAACTTTCGTGAGACATTTTATAATTAATTATTTACGGCTTACTCACGTATGCTTTTGTTTTTCCGGTGACGGCACCG